TCTAAATCTAAAGCAGTCACTTCAGTTATTTTTTTTGCCAAATTGGTTCTATTAAACATGCATGTATTTCTCAAAGTAATTTTTTCCCCCTAAAAGTACATTCCTGCCCCAGGGACATAGTGATCTGCCCAGTTTGCTAAGGAACACTGCAGTTTTAACAACTCACCTGATCTTTCAGTTACCTGCAGTAAAAAATAAAATAGAAATGTTATGTTTATGCGTGGCTATACAGAATATACTTTCAATTAACTGGTAGTCTTCAGCATTGACCTTCACATTTATGGATATGAATTTAGTGACTTTTCCTGAAGTAAGAAATTTTAAAGAGTGTATTTATTGCCATTAATGCTCATCTTCTCCTCCTCCCGTTCCCCTCACTTCCTCTCCCACCCCCAGTACATTCAGCAAATGCACTGAATGTGATATTCTCAGGGGAAGTACTGACTTGTCACTAGTGCTGTGAAAATAACCAGCCCAGAGGATGCTAAGGCCTCAGTCAGGTGAAATAGAAAAGTGTAGCCTTTCTTTTATCAGGTTAATTATATACCAAGGTCAGTATTTTTTTTAAAGATTTATTCATTTATGAATAGAGAACTGGGGTACAGGCTAGAGGTGGAGGGAGGGGTGAGAGGACTCACCCGAGACAGTGGGAAACAGAACAGGAGGATTGACTGAAGCACACTGCTGAGGGGAGCAGTGGGCAGAACAGAAGAGGGCTGCTGGGCCATGTGGGTCCGCTCCCTGCCCAGGGATTGAACTCTTGGTTGCAGATGAAACTTAACCCCATGCGTCACCAGGGAGGCCCAGAGGGTGTCAGTATTTTTATCTAAATGTATATTCATCTAATCATTCTGTTTTTCTTAAGTTAATGTTTAGATATCTTTTATCTACTAGCTAGGCTTGGTAATATGATATGTATTTTTTAACTCAATGATTTTCACAGTAGGTAGAAGCGTACCAGAATTATCTGAGGAGAAATTTCAAAGTAAATGTATTCTTCTACTACCCCAGCGTGGTGGCAGTTTGTGTATTTTGTAAAATCCCCTTGTATGATTCTGATAACCATTTGCTACTCAAATTGAGAAGGAAATAAACTTGGTAGTGATTTTGATTTAATTTATGTATTTCTTGCACCTGGCATAATAATTTTATATAATCACATATAGTATGTGGTTTATATAGCATACAAGGAAACCTCTACACTGTTCTTGAAAAAGAGATTTTTCTGCTTTCAGATTTTGTAAGTCTTCCCTTTTCTTCCTTTGGGAAAGGTATCTCGATTAGAAAGGAAGGTCAGACCTTTTCCCTCCATTTGACTCCACACTTGTGTGTTGTCCTTTTTCAGTTACTATCTTGCAAGAGTAGAAAGTGATACCATTAAGGTAAAATAATATAAAAGAAATAAATAACAATAAAAAGAGAGGGAACCAAGGTGATTCCTAAGTGAAAATAGTGTGGAGAGAGGTCAATTTCTGTATTTTTTTCCTTCCTTCTTTAACTCTTTGTTTTTACATTTGAGTGATAGGAAGTTGTTTGGGGCAAACAAAAAATTGGAACTCTCTTAAATAAGAAGCTGAGACAATAGTAGTTGCCTTACCTCCTGCTTTGGTTCCCCCAAATAACACAAGGACCCTCCTAGCCCCATACATATGGTTCTTTAATCTGGAACAGGCCTGTCCTGTTGTGAGTGTGCTGTGTGGCAGGACAGGTTCCATTTCCTGTCTTCTTAAAGTCATCTTGCTCCAAGTGCTCACTTCCTCTTTGTTTGCACAGGGCTTACTCCTGGTGATTCTTTGATTGCACAAAGCTTATTCTGTGTTCTCCTTTATCCTCTATTACACAGAAAAGCTATGAAGCAGGAAGTAGGAATATGCTACCAGTTTCATTAGTGAAGACATTGTTTTGTTAACTGCCATCCTTTGTATCCAGTATAACAAATGACACAGTAAGTGCTCAGTAAAAGTTGAGTGAACAGTTTAAATAGCAAAACATCTGCTGAGTGGAAAGGGAAATAGACAAAAATACATTATTTTTACTTATAAAATAAAGTTGACTTTAGATTCATTAGTTGATTTCCTTGGAAAACCTTAGTTCTTTCCTAGGTTATAACTAGAGGAATTTTAAAAAATTGAAGAAGCTAATACATTTAGAAGTGGGAATAGGGTAGCAGAAATATCCCATTTGTTGCAAATGGAGGCACATGGAACAGTCTGGAGGCACATGGAAGCTATTTAATGCAGGGATGGTCAGCCCTAAATCCTTGCCATCATTGCGTAGGGCAGAGTGAAACTCTAAGACCATGGCCCAGAGGGGCAGAAGTAGTGTGAAGACCATCTGGGCCTGGGAGTCGTAACAGACCTCCTGGGGGAGGGAGGGACAGGCTGTGTAAAGATGTAGCAAAATACAGCACTGTGTACTAGCCTGTGTGCATGGCAGTAAGTAGTGCTTATTTCACAGCAACAAGTAAGCATTTAGAAAACATTTATTAAAATGGTTTACAAATTTTAAATATTTTCATACATCAGTGGTTTCATCTCTAATGAGTGTGACTAAATCCTGATTAAGGACTACTGATTAAGTCCATAAAGAAACTGTGATATATGTAAAATGATGACTGGTTTGTAAATAAAAGGCAGTATTTCTTAAGTCAGGAAAAGTTAATATGCTGAGAATTAATACAAAAAAACCCTTTGAGTACTTTTCTTAAATTAAGCATTTTGTAAATTGATCTTGAACAAGTGCTTTTTAAATTAAACTTCCTATTGCAGGAAGATAATATATATACAGAAAAATGTTCACTCAGTGAATTTTCATAAACTCATTGTCAGGTAGCCAGCATCCAGTTCCAGAAACAGAACATTTACTAGGAAGAATTCAAGAACTTTGTGTCTCTTCTAGTAACTGTCCCTCCTGCCTCACATCCCCAAGCTCAAGGGTATGGAGTACCTTCATGTCCAGTAACAGTTCATTTTGAAAAAAATGGCGTTAGGATTTAATTTAAGAAGTCTTAGAAATTCCTTCAGTGAGTTTTAAGTAAAGAAGAAAAATCATGAATAAACTTTTTACCCTTTGACTAGTTTTTCTTTGTAAAGTGTTTTAGAAGCTTGGCTGGATTTAAGTAAAGTGCTCGGACAGTTTGAGTTTGGGTCTGATGTACTCAAGTAACTTGTGTCTGGAAAAGACAGAAACTATTTTGTACTTGTCTCTGTTTGATAAGAAACAAACTTTTGTAGTGTCACTTTCTTTTGTACCAGTGTCTTTGTCTTCAGAAGGAATTACGATCTCTCCATTAGACTGAAGGCCTGTCTACCTCTGACATCCTGTCATCTGTGATTCAATTTTTAAATCAGTGTGCTGGTATTCCCAGTACCTCTGTAAGCTATGAAAAATGAACTGTGTTCTCTGCTTTACATATTTATATTTATATTCACTTTGGGATATTGCATTTAACTATTTATGGGTAACGCTTAAAGGTAACGCTTTCTACATAGGAGAGAATGTCCGACTGAAGGTGATTTTGGATGGAATTTTCCAAACTGTAGCCTTTATATTATAAACCTCTGCCTATTGTAGGGTTCTTTGCACTCTAAAAACTTTGAACATTTCAGTCAAATTCTTCCCTTGTTTAGAAATTGAATCTATTCTAGAACTTTTGCTTTTAGAGGAAAGAAAGTGTGTGCACGTGCTTTAAAACTGGAAGTTGCCAGATTGTGGCTCTCCAAATAGGGAAGTTTGTCCTCGCAGCTGACTTGGTGCCTTCCTAATAACCAGGTTCTGCTCAGCCTGCCTGAGGTTCTGTTTTAAGACTATTGAGCCCTGAAACTTGGCCCCAAGCGAGGACTACCAATTAGGAGCTCCTCTGGTATGGCTTTATGAGGTTCCTCTGAGTGGTATATACTCTGGTGAATTTATTTTTACGGTGGTAAAATAGACAAAACATAAAATATACCACTTTATTACCGTTAAGTATATAATTAGCTTTTTAGTTTCTGAAATTTTTATTCATTTATCCTATTTATTGATATCAGTTCTAGTCAATAGATATTTAATGGAGATAAGCTATGTGTTTTGTGCTCAGGTTGGCAGATTATGAAACAAGTATAAATATGGTTCCACTTCTCAAGAAGATTGTCTAATTAGTGAAACAAGATGTATGTGTAACTAGTTTAAATATTCAAGGAAAGCTTTTTGTAAAGGCAAAACTTGGACCTTTCTTTTCTTTTTTTTAACATTTTAAAAGGACAGGTTTATTAAGAACAGAATAGTATAGGTGGACAGGAGAGCCACTTCACAACTTGGTTCTTAATCAGGGGTAGGTGTGTCTCTTAGAGGAAGGAGGAAGTGGGGAACTAGAACAGTTATTTCAGTGTTAAGTTCATTGTCCTTCAGAGATTCTTGCTTTTCTAACTTTGAAACTCTCACTGTTTGTTTTTAAAAAGCTGAATTTAGTTGAGGATTATATTAGCACATAATTTAAATTTTTTTTAAATCACAGAAATCATACTTACTTGTGATATAAACAGTGTAAAAAATCCAGATATCATTTTATAATGATAGAAGGGTTAAGCTTCCTGTTAAAATTCTATGCAAATATCTGTTAAAATTCTATGCAAATATCTGTGTTCATGCAGCATTAAACTTTTCAATATATTACCACTTGGGAGTAGGTTTTTCATTAGTGAGTGTAGAACAATTGCAGCTATAGTTTTTATGAAAAAAGAATTGTACAAAACCCAGGCTGTAATGAAACACATATTTCTTGAAATTAATCTTGAATGTTTGCTACTCTGAAACCAGGCAAAAAGTTTAGAGTGGGATAGATAATGTGTGAAGAGAAAAAGTTACAATTAATTCTGAATAATTTTTATTGACACTTGATGCAAAGGATGGTGCTCATTTTGTTAGTGTATGTCTCTCGTGTGTTAAGGATTTCATCTGGGCTCAAGATGCTGGTTCATAATAATTACAAAGTTAATATTTTTACTTTCACATATTTGCAGACAGGCTAACATTCACTTGGGACCCCCATGTTCACGTGACATCAAGAGGAAACGGAAACCAGTGGCCACAGCCTCTCTGTCAAGCCCAAATGCAGGTAACTATATATCGTTATCACTTATTAAGCACCTACTGTGCCAGGTACAAAGTTATGTGTTTTATATTCTTTTACGTCTAACCTTTATGATAAGGTAGGTTATTTTCTTCCTTGTTTACATGGTAAAACTGAGAATGTGAGAAGTAATTTGCCCAGTGTCACATGTAATTTAAGAATTCTAACCTAGTTTTCTCTGACCCTGAAGCCTAATCTTTTTCACTATGTCACACGATTTTCTTGAGTTTGAATCCCTTATATTTCACTGTCAACAATCTTCAGTTACCCGAGCTTTGCTCTAGACAGACAGGAAATTAGGTGAATGAAAATCCACTTAGGGTCACAGTTTAATCAGTAGCCAAGGAACCACATGAGTTTATTTACTCTCTTAGTTGGTAGACAGTGCATTCTCATGTTTTATGTAGATGAGAGTGCTAATATTTTACCAGTCATGAAATTTCTAATTAAAAATAATTTTTCGGGCCCTCCCTGGTGGCACAGTGGGTTAGGATGCAGCACTGCAAGCTAGCCACAGCGGCTCTAGTGCGAGTTCGATCCCCAGCCCTGGAGGTGACCCACATGGCGTGGCAGACCTCTCCTGTTTCCCCACTCTGTCTCTGGTGAATCCTCTCACTGTCCCTGCACCCCTGGCCTGTACCCCAGTTCTGTATACATAAATAAACCTTAAAAAAAATAATTTTTCAGTTGAAAGTAATTTTTTAATTTTCTGGGTTAACACTAGTTAGTACAACTCAAGTAGTAGTTGTCCTTGAGTGGGGGTTGGTGACCTGGAGAGGACATAAAGAAGTCTTCTGGATGCTGGAAATGCTCAATGTCCTGAACTCTCTGGGGCTTGCAAGGGTCTGTATACATGTGAAGATTCATTAGGTTGCAATTTTTAATGTATGCACTTTTTTTTTTTTTTTTTAAGATTTATTTGTGCATACAGAACTGGGGTACAGGCCAGAGGCTCAGGGGCAGAGAGAGGCTTCACCAGAGACAGAGTGGGGAGCAGAACAGGCAGATCTACGAAGTACACTGCTGAGGAGAGCAGCGGGCTGGTCAGGAGAGGTCTGCCACGCCATGTGGTCACCTCCCTGGCAGGCGGCAGGTGGGAATCGAACTCATGTGGAAGTGGCTTTAGCTTCTCACTGTGCTTTAACCCACTGCGCCACCAGGGAGGGCCCAATATATGCACTTTTTATGTATTTTATTTTTCAGTGAATAAAGAAGGGGAGTTGTATCCATGTTTTTTTTTTTTGTTGCTGTTTTTTGGTTTTTTTTTTTGCAGTTAAGAGACGGTAGTTAAGCATAATTAGTAAAGTCCTTCATGTTATTTCAATATATTTTCAATGTATTGAATTACTCTGGATAAAAAGGTTATATCTGTTTGTAGAATATATCAGAAATGCCTACTTATTTTTTGATGATGGTAATTCACTCTAGGGAAACTGAGAGTATCAAGGAGAACTTTTTTTTTTGCCCTTGGGAAAGGCTATTATATTATATAGATCAGAGCTGTTGGTAGCAAGTAGGGAACTCTTTTGCCCTGCCCTTACTTAGTAAATATTAGTATATGCAGAAATTGACCTCGTTGAGCTTCTTTTTAGGTCTTGTGCTTGATAACGGTTCATACTGGGTAATCGTGATGATTACAGTAACTAAATGAGCACTGCATTCTTTATTTCACTTAATCTTTGCAATACCTTTGTGAGGCAGTTATTATTTTTATTCCCAACTTTCACATGAGAATATTGAGGTTGAGACAGGTTAACTCATTTCTGTAGAGTCACATGGATGAATTTGCAGCACCAGAGTCAGACCTATTTCTCTTAAGAGTTTAGGGCAGCCGGCTCAAACACTGCAGGTGTTCTGTTTTATAGGATTTGATCTAAACTGTGACTCCACATAAAACTCAGATCCTCATCCAGTCATTGGTATTGGAAGCATTAAAACTCAATCTCCCCTCATTTATTGTTTTGCTCTGGTTTTCCCTTCTTACTGTCTAGCTTCTATTTTTAGCTTTTTAATTCTTTAAGATATGTTGAGTGTAAGTCCTTATTCCATATTCAAATTGAGAAATGTGCTGAGAGGTATTAACAAGACTTAAGCATTAAACATCTCCCCTACTGAGCACAGCTCTTCCCCTCACTTGTTGACTAAGACCTGCTTCACTGAACATTTTCCTTTTTTCTATCCACAACCTGAGTGCCCCATGGAGGTGAAGGACATAGCCGGAGTCTGCGCCATCAGTCAGTAGAACAAATGGGCTTGCTCTGCCTAACATCGGGCCATCTCGGATTCCACCTCTTTTATAGAAATGAGTGATGAAGAGAGGTGCGTTCCGCTTTGCCGCTGTATTAATACACATCAGGGGCCAGCTCCTGGCACTAAATCACGCTACTGCATACATCTGTTATCGGACTCCTCACCACTGTGATGAACAAGACTGCAGATAGAGGCTTCCTTGTGTCATTCTTTATAGGATTTTCCTAAAAGAATAAATAGCTCAGATCTCTGCCAACACTCTCCCCTGTCACTGTGATGAATTCAGCTTCTTTCTTAAATATGCAGCCACAGATCTTTTTCTTTTTACCCTCCCCCACTGGGGGGAAGTTTTGAGTTGAAATTGACTGGATTTAAAAATACTATGGAGACTAGCCTGGTGAAGAGTAGGACTGAATAGCATGCCTTCCTTGCTAACAAAGGGCTAAGGAGAAGTACTTCTCTTAGGGCCCTTAAGTAGATACTTCCTGGAAGTATAGCACCTTTATGTTTTTTTTTTTTTTTTTTTTTTTTTTATCTCCAACTCCTTTCCCTTTATGGCTTTATAACAAGCAGGTAGATAGCTGCAGCGTAGAGCCACCGCTAAATCTTATTGAATCACTGTATTAACCTGCTTGTAAGCCCCACACACCAGGACAGGGAATGCTCAACAAGACACTGCCTCATGCAGAGGTGAGCTGGCTGTTTGTACTCTTGAAGAATGTAAATGAAAAGGAAAAAGAAAAATTTCCTCCTCCAAATTTTGAGACTAAGTAGCTATAGGAAACAAGGAATTCAGATGAAACTTATTTCCTTGAGATGATTTTCTTCATTAGCATGGAAGATTAGAGCCTTGGTATAGAAATCCCAGTTCTTCAAAAAGGTAAACACAGGGCTTAGGTGAAGAAGCACTGGAATGTTACGCCATTGTATTCAGAGCCCTATTTTAGCCATTCCAGAAACCTTTTCTGACCTGCACTTTCTGGGACAGGCAGGACACGTGTTTTTAGAGCATCAGTGGGAAAGGTCCCCGACATCTAAACTGTTAATCAGGTACATCACATTCCAAATGCCAGGCCAGTGACGCTGGACATGTGTTTGCAAGGGTGGGAGTGTTTTATCTGTTTTGCCACTGCCGTACCTCCAGTATCCAAAATAATACTCAGCAGAGGAACAAAATAATAGATGTTTGTGTGTGAGTAAGTAAATAGAATCCTAAAACTGGAACGTTGTTCTTACCCTATTCTAACCCTGTGATAGAGCCCTAGTTCTAATTGAGTTTGGCCCTTTTCATGAAAGTCATAGGGCAGATTCATATTGCCCCTGTATCTTTATAAAGCAAAAAAAAAAAAAATCAGTAAATATTGATAACTATAAAAGAACATTTAAGTAAGACATATAAGATCTTGAGGAGAAATACAGCAAACATCTATGCATGCCCAATATCTACTTTAGAAAAAAATTCCTTTAAAATCTTCTTCCAAAAAATAAAATCTTATGGCTCTTCTCAGAGGTAACCATTACCCTGATACATTTTTTTTGTTAATCACTTATCAGTCATTATTTTTTTAGATAGTTTTAATAGACATATATTGCTAAGCAATATGCTGTCTAGTTCTGCATGCTTTTGAACCTTATGTAAGTGGAATGTCACGTTTTATAAATTTCAAGTTCCATCGGTTATGTTTTTTGTTTTGTTCTGCCAATACCTATTTTTTTCTGCCATACATATATTATTCCATTACGTGACTGTGATAAATATACTATAATCAAACATTCTTCATAGACATTTGGATGGTATCCCATCTTGTACTGTTGTGAAAAGTACTGTATCTTGCTATATGGGAGAACACGTGTAAAAGTTTTGTAGGTCTACTTCATAGGATGGCCATAGCGGAAAAAAATAAGAAACAGGAAATATTGAAAAGGGTGTAGAGAAGTTGGAACCCTGTGCATTGCTGGTTGGAGTGTAAAATAAAATAGCGCAGCTGGTATGGAAAACAGTATGGCGGTTCCTCAAAAAATTAAACATAGAGCTATCATATGGTACAGCCAGAATTGAAAGCAGGGATTCATACAGATATTTGTGCACCCATGTTCACAGCATCAGTATTCACAAGACAGGGTTTATTTTAGATGCTGGGGATACAGTAGTGGCAAGACAGATTAAAAATTCCCACTCTTAGCAGCATTACTCACAAGTGCCAGAAAGTAGAAACAAATGTCTGTCTCTGGATGAAAGGATGAGCAAAATGTGGTACATACATACATACAAGAGAATGTTCAGGATGAAATTCTCACACATGCTATAGATGTAGGCATTATGCTCAGTGAAATAAGTCAAACACAAAAGGACAACAACTATTATAGATTCCACTTGTGTGAGGTTCCTAGAATAGCCCTGTTTGTGAAAATGGGAAGGAGAATGGTGGTTGCTAGGGGTTAATGGGAGGAGAGAGGGAGTTCATGACTACAGAGTTTCCATTTAGAATAACCAAGAAGTTCTGGAGATGGGTGGTGGTCATGTTTGGGCAGTAATGTGAAAGTGCTTAATGTCTTTGAACGATGCCCTTTAATAATATAAGATGTTAAGTACTATGTTATGTATATTTTATCATAATTAAAAATAGATAGCAAAAGAAAAAATCTTTTCTTGGGTAGATTTCTGTCACTGTGGTCAATGACCATGCAGTATTAATGGTAGGTATAGTTTCATAAAATTTATTTTCAATTAAATATGAATGAGTGTTTCAGAGTGTGTGTGTGTGTATGAGAGAGAGAGATGTTTGCATTGTGATGTCAAACATTTTCTGCTGCTGTGGTTGAGGTTCTTAAACATTTAAAAAAGCTATTGCCTCAAGAAACTTGGAAATGTGCAGAATAGTAACTCTCAAGATTTTTTCACCCAGTTAACTTGTTTTAAGAAATTAATGTTTGAATATGAATTGGGTGTAAAGTAAAAGAAGAAACCTTACATGATTGCTTTGGTTAATAGGCATAAATCATAAGGATCACAAAAGTTTTGCATGTAAGTATCTCATTCTAATTTGTTTCCTGTTGATTTTTTTCCCCTCCTACTGCTAATGGATCAGTTCATTCAGATACAGTGGCGCCTGCCACACCAGCATCCCAGATCCAGAAGTCTCCCAGCTCTGAGTGGTTGGTCAGGACCTGTGCCACAGAGAAAGCCATGGACCAGGCTGCAGCTACATTTTTTAAAACGCCACAAGAAAAGAGCCCTGGAGGCAGCTAAAGAGCAGCATTTCACTCAGGAGCTGTCTGGCTGCTGTGCAGACAAGCACTAGACTTTGTGTTACAGTCTTGCATATCTCTGACATTCCCAGTCCTTTCACCACCAGGCTGACTCTCCTTTGGGCAAAGGAGTGGAAAATCATATTGTGGAAATTAACTTAAAAAAAAAAATCATTAAAAAAGTTAGTAAAGTATTGGGGCAGCAATTTAAAAAAACTCATCCTATGCTATATTTGTTATACTACTATTGCTGTCTCAATAGTTACAGAGCGCTCCATTTTAGGGCCTTTGCTTTTTTGCAGGCGTCTTTGTTCTTAAAAAATCTAGTAACTGCTTTTGCATACCTTTTGTGTGGAGTTTTTAATTACTTGAGGACGTTCCAAATTTGCAGACAGTCCAGATAAATTTTAACTCTGAGTTAAGGGACAACATGGAATTGTATTCTGCGGGAGGTAAGACTTGCCTTTGAGCCTGGTCTTGATTCACTCAGAGTCGAGTGCCAGTAACACAAGTCCACCAAGTTCTTAATCTGGAGCCTCAGAAGAGACACCAGCAGCACAGGCCTTGGGAGTGTCTTCCATTTTTCTAGAAGGCCTAATAGGATCGCCAGCATCTACATTGTATTTTGTCTCATCTCCAAAGTTCATGTTCTACCAAAAGTCGAGATATATATATACACACACACACACACACATATATATATTTATATAAAATACCTACACACACATACACACAGAATAGTGTAATGAAATGATGATTTTAAGTGCACAGCAAACTTCAAGTAGTCAGTGAATTGTTTCTTAATATTTCATGTTGCATTTAACCTCTTTGTACTAACGGGATTTTATTGTTAGTATTATAGGCCAATAACCTGTAACAGACATTCATACTCTGTTGTTATAATGGCTTAGAGCTACCCCTTGGGGAGGAAAAATGTCTTTTTGACCTGCCATTATATTTGGCGTGTTTATGATGGCTTAGCTGCATGTAGAGTTATATATACAGCCGTGCCTGAAGTTAGATGCTACTTTGTCAAAATGAAGAATAAGTCACTGCCTACAGCTACTGGAGAGAAGCCAACCTTTTTAAAAAAGTATTATCAAGAATGTCTGTCATTCAAAGGCCTGGTTGACAGAAGGACTCTTTTTTGGTACTGTTGAGTGCTTTTTTCTCTGATATACACTGAAGCTTTTCTTTAAGTGCCCACTGCTCTGGTAATGTTCTCAAGGAACACCTATCCTGCACTTGAGTATTTTCTGTGCTTAAGTAGAAGCCAGTGGAATAGTGCCTTTCCGTTTCTCACACAGAATGCAGTGGTAGGCTGCGCTCTCACGGTGTCCCTTTTGGAGAGAGAGTCTATACCTGTGATTGCTGCAGGATATCTGGATCAGTGGGGTGGGTGTGAGTCTAGCAAGAAAGCAGGACGTACAGCTCAGTTTACATAGCACTTTATGTAAGACTAAACATTGTCAGTTATTTTCTACAAGGAGTGTGGTGGAGGGAGCAGGGCGAGATGACTGGTGAGGAATGGTGCCAAAGCTACCCTAGTACCCCTGGGAGCCGTCCCTGCCTCCTCTACAGTGAGGCTGCGTGCTCTGGGCTGCTCCCACAGCAGAATAGAAACTCAGATATAAATATAAAATGGCACCGTTAAGTTTTAGTGACGAAGTTAGGTTTTGTTGTCATTTCCTTTCTTACCTTGGTCCCCATAGTGCCCCGAGGCACACATTTCAAACATAGTTTGTTGGATTTAAGGGAAAAAAATATTCCCCAAGCTCTGTGGCTCCTTGGTGCTATGACAGCGGCTTATTTGAAGACCTCTGCAGTCCAGGGAGCAGACATGTTGCCTAATGGTTTTCCTTTTAACCTATGATTAAAAATAATTTATAGCTACAATTTTATTTGCATCACACCTCTGTGATGTAAAGGTAAGTGACCGCTCCCAAGAACAGTCACGAAGTTTAGTGACTTGCCCAAAATCACATAATCAAGATTATAATCCCAGATTTTCAGACTTTTTATGCCTGCATTTATAATCGTTGGTTTCTACTGCTATATGAGTTGATCTGAGACCCGTATCTGTGAAACAATGCTGTGAATGTCAGCCAGCTTTTGGGTGTGCTTATCTACATATTTTGAATAGTTTCAGTAGGGATCACCCCAAAATGCCATTTCTTACTAAATGGGGAAGAAAATTAATTGCCTAAGAGGAGAGTCATTAAGCATATAATACATTTCCTAGCACAGGGTTGTAAATTGTGCTCTTCATTTTAAGCCACCGTTTGAGCTCCTGTACAAAATTATCAGCTTGCTCTGCTTGTTTTCTGTAGGAATCAATTCCAGAGAAATAACTTTAGAATTGAGTATTTTGAATTCTAAAATTTAAATTTCCTTTTTTATGGCACTGTGTAATGTCATACTTTTAAAGACATTTCCATCAGATTCAACAAGATATTTCAAAATTATGGGCTTTTTAATTGGTGGAAAAAACTGGTTCCTTTGAGGAAGCTTGAGCTCACATGTGTTTGATCTGCTCAAAAGTAATAATTGAAGCTGTGTTCTTATTTCAGGGGTCTGATTTACCCCCGTGAGCTGCACTCTATCCTAATCTTATGTATTTTCCACAGCAGACAGAAGTCAAGACCTCTACTTGCATGAGCATCATTCATAAAAATTTAGTTTTGCTTTTGGGCTTAAGGGGTTTTGAGATTATTTTTCAGATGCAATATTTTAAAGGAAGGAAAATCACTTGTATCCATTGCATTTTAGTGGAAGGGTTCCAAAGAGGAAATTAGTAGTTATTTACATGGCACCAAATTTGGGGCAGGCAGTGTATGATCGTTGAATGGTCAGTGCTTGTTAATCAACCTTTGCCTTGAATTCTTTAGAAATTTAATTCTGTTGAAAATTTCAAATGACATGGTTTAACTAGGCTGTGAAATAGACTAAGCAAGGTCAACAAAACAACAAAAACCAACTACTTAATGTGTATGGCATCCTTTGCTAAGTAAAACTTCAGACTTAGTGACAGGTCATTAAATTCTTACTGAAACTCAAGTTGATTAATGTGACACATTTGCATTTGGGAAGAGAACACAGTAGAGACAGATCGGGCAGTTCTGATGCTGCACGGTAAAGGGGCAGAGTTAGTGCAGAAGTCATGGAGACATGAACAAGTCACCAGGCCCTGCGGGGGGAGCGGGCATTGTCATTGCTGATGCCATGGGCTCTCTGCTTAGTTTCCTGGTGATGTGTGATTCACTTCAGGGCTTTGTTTTATTTTGGCTTCATTACCGAGGCCCTGAATCACACTTTTTCTTGGGGAGAGGGCTGTGTAAATGTCCTAGATTAGAAGCAGGACTCTGTTCGCTGTGTGTCTGTTGAACCTTCCTGAGCTTGGATCAAAACTGAGGGACTTACTCTTAACCGCTGGCCTCAGTTGAGGCTTAGCTTTCAAGACACCTGTGGTTCCTGGGATGGTGGGAGGGGTGGTGGAAGCAGTTTGCTCTTGCTGTCAGCTGCAACCTTTGTTAACTGTGGAGCTACCTGTTTCGTTTGTCAGTATTTCTTTATCTTCCAGTCCATTCTGGACAGATACTGGTGAGGGCAGCCACACATGGGTTCCCACTCACTAGGAAGCTGGTACGTAGTATAATATGTTGAAATTGGTGAGTTCTGTCACTACCCCTAAATGCAAGTGGCCAAGATGCTTTCACTTACATCAAGGTCACACAACAAGATGGGTGTCACATGCCTAGAAACAGCAACATTTTGAAAGAAGCAAGGAAAATGATACTGCTGAAGAAAAGTTTTTAACAAACCCAGGACAACTAACCTTTCGCCAAGTGAAATTTTCCTGCCATTGCCAGTAGATACAATAACCATTGATAAAATGCCAGGTATATGGAATAAATTTTTTTCAAACAGTATTAAAGAATGGAGAAGATCCTAAAAATGTCCACCAGGGAGAGCAATGTTGGCGAGATACCTGGAAGTAAGAAAAGGGGAGACGGCCGGAGCAGGGGTCCTTGGGGCCCTGGGCCAACAGCCTCAGCACATTCTCGCACCCACCAGACCTACCGAATCAGAATCAGGGTGAAGCCTGGCAATCTTTGCTCTAGCCCTTTGGGGAACTCCAGTGCGTGCTAACGATTAGAACCACTGGCTTTGCCACAGTTGAAAAGTTTTAATATATTGGTAACCCTCTAAGCTCTGAGGTGCCCTTTATTTCCCTCCGTAAGTATAGAAATGTTTTGTGTATGGTTCTTTGCAGAAATTGTTAATGTCTGTTTCCTGCAATTTTCTCCTCAAGTTTCTGAAAAGATCCCCTGGCAATATTGAGAAAGGTTGATGTGGAGAAAAAACCATCAAGGCCATATTTGGATGGGTGGAAATCACCTTTTAAAAGTGAATTAAAATACAGCAATGAATTTTCAGCTTGTGATGGTCGTTTTTCACAATTGCCAGTAAAAACATTTGTGTAAGAAAGGTACTGCCATTGTGATTGAACATACTTGCTCTTTGCATCTTTGTTTCATGGGAGGAAAGCAACATGCATGAAGGCTCTGAAGTGTGGCTCACAAAATGGGAAAAAATTTTGAAGAAAACCCATTCAGAGTACCCATCAATTACGGAATAAATACCTGTTGAGTTATGGTAATCTTTTGCTAGGGCTCAGCATTAATACTGAAGAGCATGTCAAAATCAATTTCAGTGCTCCCCTTAGTCATGCTTTGCTGCATTGTTTTGCATTTCAGCTATTGGGGACCAATAGCAACAGCATGTTTTGTTCTCTGACTCATGAATTCAGTATTTCAAAATATGGTACTAGGCTCTTAAAGCTGAAGTGATCGTGGCAGTTTTTTCTTTAAATTTTATCTGTGTGCATTGGCCTGGGCCCCAGCCTATCACTAAGCCCCCCAAGCCAGGTTCTCTCCACAGACAAGAGCCGCCCACTTACATGTACTTGCTGCCCAAGATATCCTCCTCTGTGCCCAGATCCTGTCCCCTGAACAGACAGATGCCTGGCTCAGTCTAGCTGTGGCTGCTCACTCCTGGTGCACAGTGTTGGCCTTTAAGCAATCCCAAGACTCTCTTTTCAAACAAAACTACCTTTTCTCAACCTTTTTGAGCCCCTTGGCTACACTAAAGTATTCCCTTACCTGCACGCTCTATTCTCTGCTGAAACACTGGTGGTTAACCCTGGCTTGACGCTAGAAGGACTTCAGAAGTCCTCATTCCCTGGATGGACCCACAGACCCCTCAGCCGGGAGGCATGGTGGGACAGGTTTCAGTCTGTTTCATGCCGTGTGCAGCCAGCGCTGTGTACCAACCACTAAACCTGGCCGCCTCATGCCACCATTAAAGTTGTTTTGGGGAGCTTCACTGGTGTTTACTGATTGCCAGCGTTTAGTCTGCAAGTTGAGCTTTATGACTTGATACTCTAACCACTTCCTTTTTGGAATTCTGCCTTTTCTCATCTTGCTGTCCTGATTGTTTCTTTGTTCTTTACCACCACAGATGGGTCCTTTGGCTAGTAGGTCAGATTGCCTGCCCCTCCAGTCCTTCAAAAGCATGTGTCCTGTGAGTTCCTTTGTCATGCTGTTTCAGGGACAGCACTTCACTGCACAAACTTGGGTGAAGCCTTTACATTCATCAGTGATTTGGGTACACTTCAAGGAAGCATCCTTGAGGTCTCTGACCCGGTGACCACTTCTCTTCTTTCTAGAAGCCACTAAGGGAGACTGAATAGTCACATTTGTCCCAGCCTCGAGTGGATCTCCCACATTTACTAGTGAGGGCTTGAACTGTGGTCCCTCTTCTGCTTTCTCCTTTCCAAGGTCCTGGGCTGGTGGAGACCTGTGACCACTTCTCCATACAAGGAGTCTACCCCATCTAGTGTGAAATTCAGCTTTTTTACTTCCTGCTGCTGGTAAGATTTTATTTACTTTGGGGTTAGGGAGTGAGACTTCCTCACCACTTTCTGGCCTTAGGCACCAAGTTGGGTCTTTATCAGATACATTTTTATTGGGGTTAGAGGCACCAGCTCTAACAAACACTAACCAAGTGGAACTTGATTTCCCACTTCCCTACATTACCACTTTAGGACTGGATAATGTAGCGTTTCCACCATCACCGGAAGACCCTTTGCACTTCTTTTAAAAAACTAGAATCTGAGTAACAGTCTTGTGTGTGTCTTAGCGGCAGGCTGTGAGAATGAGGTTATCTGGAATATTTAGCTTCTGTTGGAGGATGGAGGAATTCCTTAAACAGGAAGGCAGTTCAGATGCTGGGCAGTAAGAACAAAGACCCACTAGTGCTATTTACTTAGTCACTAGCTCAGCAGACATTTACTCACACTCACTAAGCTGCACTTCCACAGGGACCTCTTAGGAAAGAAGTGGGGAGGAGTATCCCAAATTGGGGCATTCTGGGTTCTTAGATAGTCTCTGAAATTGAAATCAGTAGAATCCTGTCAAGAGCGGATGATGATGTCACGATGATGATGATGATGATGATGATGAAGAATTACTGAGTTACTAATGTGTGCCATTTGTAAACCACATCTCCTGTATACTTCCACAACTGAGGCAGGCACTTTGATATCTGCTGTAAAGCAATGGAATACATTAATAGTTATAGATTTACTTGCTCAATGGCATATAGCTAATAAGTGGTCAGCCAGAATTCAAATTCAAGTCTAAGTTATGCTAGAACTTTCACCCCAACCAGTGCCCTATACTGCCCCATTCATGACATGAATGAACTATTGATGACCGTGTATATCAGAAACTGCCTACCCCTGGGGTCAGGCTAGTTATCTGATGAAACCCTTTCAATCCATTCATCTGTTGCTCCCGGTGAGCTCTTTATCAAGGTGAGTGTGAATAGGCTCATCTCATCTCTATCCTATATCCCTGAGAGAAGACAAGCACTTCTATGGCTGGAGCAAAAGTCAATAAAATCTTGGAGAACATCAGCAATCAAAATTATTGTCCTTTACATGCCAAAATGAACCTGATCTCTAAATCTGGAGGATTTTTGAGTTGTCATTGGTAATATGAACTGCTGTAAAAATCTTGCTAACGAACTGCTAGCAAAATAGCTGCCTTTACATCTTCCTTAGTAAATATTCCTTTATTGAGAAAATATACAGACACACTTTATGCTGAGTATTTTGCTGGTAACTATTCAGTTCTACGCTGTCTACACAGTGGGAACATAACAGACAGATCTACTGAAATACACTGCTGAGAGCAGCAGTGGGCAAGACAGGAGAGGTCTCCTGAGCTGTGTAGGTCAGCTCCCTGGCTGGAGATGAGCTTGGGCTGCAGCCGTGATGGTGGTAAGACATAACCCCTAGGCCATCAAGGAGCCTCCCCACCCCCAAATATCTTTCTAAGGGAAACAGAAGAATCTATAGCAGTCAAAAGGGATGTGAAGTTGAGATTTTGGGTGGCAAGTGAGATTAGATGAAAGTCCACTTTTCATCCTGAAGGAATCCACCAAGACCTGGCCCCTTGAGTCTGTTGTGACGATTGTGATGGCTCAGGGTGTAAAGCAGGACCTGCTGGGGGAAAGGCGTTCTGTCCGAATTCTCCCCCACACACCAGAAACCCTCCAAGTGCTGCACTCACAGTGGAAGGTGAGGCGCAGTGAGGCCATCAAGCATAAGTAACAGCAGGGAAGAGGGCCTTTCTGGGCCTCAGTCCTGAGGAGGAAACTGTTTTTAAACTCTAACAATGTTGTACAGGTTGTCCTGTCAAGAGGTGTATCAGCCAAATTGATTCTTCTTTTATGGTCTAAAATGCTGCAAGTAGGAATTTAATTTATACTGGGCCCTGGTCAGTAGTAACTCCAGCTGGCTAACAGAAGAAAGTACAGACTCCCTCTAGAGAAATGAAACTGCAGTCTTTGTATCAAAGAACGCCACAGGTAAGGCTATGAAGGATGTGGGGAATGTATAGTTAAAATTCTACAAACCAAAGAGAGAAATAGGCCGTGTGTGCAAGTCACCAGCAACGCCTCAGATACCAGGACTTCAGGTCACTGCTTATTCCAAGACGAAACTAAGTGTTTTAAATGTATTTCAAGAAATAAAAGCTTCAAAATACCAGGCAACAAAAACATACAATTTTGAAAGGGAGTGTTGAAAGTGTGCTACTGACTTTAATTGTTCAAGGGGAAGGAGAGAATCTTATTAATTTGGGACTTTAGCTAGACATGTTGAAATACTTGGAATAGCTGCTAAGAGAATAGAGAGGACATTGTATTTTAACTAAGCTAAGGAAAAGGCAATGGTTGAACAAAAGCCTAGAAAGGTGATAACAAAAAAAATTCAAATAAATCAGTCATAAGTGTCAGTGAACTAAACCTTGCAGTTGAAAGCCTGTAATCCTGCATTTTAAAAAGCCAGCTATATGCTGCATATAAGAGACACATCTAAAAATGAAAGTCACAGAAATATTGAAAGTAAAAGGGTGGAAAAAATATAAGGGGGAAGTTAAGTTATGAAAGGAAATAATAAATATGGTTCAATAACTAATAAATGATTCAATTTGCCAAAGAGATAAGCTAATTCTCAGTGAAGCTTAATAATATTTCTTCAATATGCATAACCAAAAAGACAAAACTGTTAGGACATCCTCTTTCATTAATTGATATGACAAAAATTATAATGAATATAGAACATTTAAACAGCACACTGAATAAGCTCGGTGTAATGGGCATGAATAAAATACCACATCTGACAATTTGAAGAATGGCATATTATTTTCAAGCATATTTTGACCATTTACAGAAATTGACCTAGTTTATTAAGCAAACTTCAGTAAATTCCAAAGATTAGGGTCACATAGTAACAATGAAATTAATTTTAAAAGTCAGTAACAAAAAATAAAGTATTCTCCAATGTATTAGGAAACTTAATAAGATATATAAACCAATGAATCAATGGAAAAAGTCCTTATTAGCTGTTAGAAAATACTTAGAACTGAATTATATCAGATTCTCTGCATTAACATTCTTCTGATGCCACTCAAGGGGTAGTTAGAGAAAAATTATGGTCTGAAATGTTTAAACTAGAGAAGAAGAAAAGACAAAATTTATGAGTTAGTAATGAGTTAGGCATTCTACTTACACAGTTATTAAAAAAACAACAAAATAAACTCAGATAAGTCAAATGTAACAATAGTGGTAAGATAAGAATTTAATGGAATAGAAAAAAAAACAATTGAGATCAACAAAGTCAAAAATTAAGACAAACACAACTAACATCATTAAAAAATAGGGAAGGCACAAATTAACTAGGAGCAAAAAGAGGTACATAGATATACACATAGTAGAAATTTAGACATTAATGTAATACTAAGAACAACTTTAGCCAATAAATTTGAAAATCTAGTCAGTGAACAAATTTCTTGAAAGACAATCTGCCAAAACTCAATGGGAAGAAAGTTTG